TTGGTGCACCTCCTCCTTGTTTCCCCACAAAAAAAATTCCCCAGTGTCTCTGTCCTCATGGTTCTTGCACACACACACACTGTGGAGCAGGTTGCAGCTCAGGTGAGCTATTAGGGTCAGGGGTTCAGAGCAGATGAAAATCCTTTTGTGTTGCCCTCCCCAGATTTTAACCCATCATTTCCATCCGGTTGCTGTGTCGGTGTGTGTGCGTTGGGGGGAGATTGATGCTTGTAGCAGGCTGTCTTTCTCTGGCGGGCTGATAGGAGGGGGGGCAACTCCTCCAGGTCTGAATTCCACAAGGAGCGGCTTGATCAGGGAGTACATGTTTGAAGGGCAGGGAGTAAAAAAAACAATGATTAGTTTAAGAAAGAGTTTATAATAATAATAATAAATAATAATATAAAGTTGTTGATCTTCACCATATAAAAGAAGAAGCCTTTTCAGGAAGGAAATGTCGTCTTGTCAGTCGCCCCACTTCATCCTTCAGTCACTTTAAGTCACCTTTCCCCTCTCGTCACAAACTTTTCTCATCTAATTTTCTCAAATTTTGTTTTTATCATCAACCTTACTTTTCTCTATTTAATTTTGTATGTTTTTTATTTAATTTTAGGTTAATTCCTCAATTTTACAAGTTTTTTTCAGTTTTAACCCCTTGAACCCTACGGACCCACCGGCGGGCCCAGCTGCTACGTGACCTCGTAATTTTACCAAACCCCCAGTATTGATGTAAAAAACATATTTGGCACAGTTTGGTGACATTTATGGATAAATGTGCCAAAATGGCCTCTCCGCCTAAGAAATTTCTCACTAATACCATTCTAAAATAAATATGATTCATCTGATTGAGTCCAAATTTGGTATATTTTTACACAACATTTAGATTTGAAAGTCTGTACTACTTTTTTGTGCTATAAATAATATTTTGGTAGTGTTTTGCAATGTTTATTTCAAAGAAAATTTTGGCGAGGTTAAAAAAATGCAAAATATTTTGTATTTTGTCCCTAATATTTCAGGCAGGGTCAAAGCTACAATGGTGCTGACACCAGAAAACCATTCTATGACATCTTACCTTTACAGACGTACCAAAAGTTTCTTCTTAAATCTAATAGCTTTGAGGCTATAAGTTATTTACTTTTGTGTGTTTTTGTCAGGCAGAAATTTATTTATACCCCCTTAGGGTGTAAGAGGTTAAACTTTTAATTTCACCTTATTTTATGCCCTACTTACTTTTTTTGTAATAAATTTAATAGTTTTTTTTATTTTAGCTATGAGTTATTAATTTCCTGTAAGAGTTTAAAGTTTTGTTTTTTTAAAAGCACCATTGAAATTTCAATTCATTATTATAACTTAGTATAGTGTAAGTTTAATATGTAATACAGTGTAAATATGTTTAGTATCAGGTTTAAACACTGCCTTTTTTTTGACTTCTTATTTTAACCCATTTCTTTTTGAAGCTGAGAGTTTCTTTGAACTCTCCCTTTAAACATCCATCATTTTAAACAGTTTTTTTCTATTTTTTATTTTTCCATTTTTTTTCTCTTTTTTTTTCAAAATCTGTAAATTTCTTACCTTACCTAACTTTTTAGCCTCTAACTTCTCATGATATTTGTTTATCTTATCTTTAACATTTTTGTTTATTGCAACATTAAAACAACCTTATTTTCTTAGCATTTGATCAAAAATTTCTCCTTGGGCAGTTGACAATTCTCTGGAACCTTGCCTTTTGTTCTACTACCATACTGTAGAACTGCAAAACCTTTCCCACTATCTACAGGTAATTTAACTCTGCCCGATATGCAATTTAACTCTGCCCGATACACACCAATCCTATGGTGCAAACCTGGATAACTGGGGGGGATCCCACTCTAGATTACCAACGTCTCAGTAAAATTAAATGCCTTCTGGTGGCACCTACAACCTTCCTGTCATTCTTAGAGAGAGCCTCACGTTCCTATGCGAGGTCTTTTGGTTCACAGGTGGAAAAAAACCTGAATTGCCTTTCTGCTACCCAAAAAGAAAAATTATCTTTTATTTTGTATATTCTTTAGTATTATACTAATGGTAATGCTTTTGAAATGATTAATCTTTAATTTAGTTAGATTTTTGTTTAGTTTTTGGTAGATTACATTTATTTATTTGATTATTTTTTATGGAGAAGAAGAGGACTTTGTTTGAACTAATTTTCCAGTATTTGATTTCTAATTATCTTTAAATCTGTAAACAATCTGTTGGTTTGTAATTTAGTTTTTGAAATTTAATTTAAACTGTGCCAACAAAAGATTCATCGCACTGTCTCAAAAAAGTGGTTCGTTTTGATCCTCCTGCTGACCTCCAGGGATCTAACGGGGTATTGAGGCTGGAAGACTGCTTCCTCAAAGGTGGTACCTGACATTCCTGACAATCGCTGTCCTCAGAAAAAATCAGTCAAAGAGAATCCTGCTTTGACAACGCCACATTGTCGTGGGAAAAAAGTATTCAACTATTCATCCTAGTTAAATAAACGGAGATCCATGGATTTCACTCAGTCGGCACATTTATTCATATCTTTGCAAAGAGAGAACAGTTCATCATACAGCCCTCATGGCACAGCATTCTGCTCTGTTCTGATCTGGGCAGCATTCATCCCCCCCCTACTTACAACAATGGAAAGCAGTCAGAGAACCGATTGGTTCTCAGAACCTGATTGGTTATGGGAAGGAGCTATGTCTGGTCTACAAACACCAGCCTGGAGAGAAATGTATGACCTTGAGAGGAACAGACTGAGTGAAAACTTTTATAGTGAGTAAATATGAATATTGATATATAATAGAAGAAAGATAAAACATTTCCGACAACACTGAGCAAGAGGGAGCATGTAGATATTGAATAGGGGGGGACCCAGGATGGACCCTTGGGGAACCCCACATGTGATTTTTGTCATCTCTGATGTAAAGTTGCCTACTGACACAAAAAAGTCCCTGTCCTTTAAGTATGATTTAAACCAGTTGAGAGCTGTACCAGAGAGGCCCACCCAGTTTTCCAGGCGCTCTAACAGGATGGAGTGATCTACAGTATCGAATGCTGCACTGAGGTCCAATAGTACCAGCACTGTGGTTCTTCCGCAGTCTGTATTTATACGGATGTCATTAAACACCTTGATAAGGGCGGTCTCTGTACTGTGGTGAGCACGGAAACCTGACTGGAACACGTCAAAGCGGCTGGTCATATCTAAGAAAGTGTTTAACTGTTGAAACACAGCTTTTTCAATAATCTTACTGATAAAGGGGAGGTTTGATATGGGCCTGTAGTTCTGGAGTAGTAGTTTGTCTAAACTGTTCTTTTTCAGCAGTGGTTTGATATTTGCTGTTTTTAGGGACTGCGGGAAAACACCTGACAGAAGGGATGTTTATTATCTGAGTCAAATCAGACGCTATGACAGGCCAAACTTTCTTAAAGAAAGCTGTGGGTAGAACATCAAGGCAGCAGGAGGAGGAACTTAGCTGCTGAATGATTTCCTCTAAGCTTTTATAGTTTATTTGGCTGAATTGGGACATTTGGTCAAGATCAATTCCAGTTGGAGACAACTTTGGTACTGAACTTGATATGGATGTACAAACTGATCCTCTGATCTTTAGGATTTTCTCAGTAAAGAAATTAGCAAATTCATTGCAGGCCCTGGTGGAGTGGAGTTCAGGAGCCACGGACACAGGAGGATTTGTTAGCTTGTCGACTGTGGCAAATAAAGCGCGAGTATTATTAATGTTCTTGTTAATGATTTCAGAGAAGACAGATTCTCTTGCATTTTTCTGTTGTAAGCTATATCTGTAAAGTCTCTATTGATGTCATAGTGAACCTGGAGTTTCGGCTTTCTCCACCTGCGTTCAGCTTTTCGACACTCCCTTTTTCACTTCTAACTGCTGGAGCACTTCTCCAAGGAGATTTTTTCTTTCCGGAAAAGACTTTCACTTTAATTGGAGAAATGCAGCTAATTATTTGTGAGACTTTAGACTGAAAGTTATCTACTAGCTCATCTATTGAGTTGCACCCCAAGGTTGAAGTAGCAGAGTAAGCTTGAATAAAAGTTTCTGTGGTATTTTCCTTAAAGGTGCATTTTCTAATGATGTCCCTTTGGCTAAATGAGTCACTGGAAATGATGCCCTCAAAGATAACAGAAAAGTGATCCGATTGGGCAACATCAGTAACACTGACTTTAGAAATCTTCAGACCTTTAGTGATGATCAAGTCTAAATATATGTCCCTGTTTGTGCGTTGGTTGTTTAACATGTTGAGTTTAACCAAAGTTTCTAAGTGTGTCACACAGTTCTTTTGCACTTCTGTCTTCAGGGTTGTCAACGTGAAAGTTAAAGTCTCCCACTATAATTAAACAGTCATAATCAACGCATATCACAGACAGGAGGTCACTAAAATCATTTAAAAAGTTTGACGTGGACTTAGGAGGCCTGTAAACATTTAGAAACATAGTTCGTACCGGGCTCTTTACCTGCAGAGCCAAATGTTCAAAAGAGTCAAATTTTCCCAAAAACACCTTTTTCCACTTCAGTGAGTCATTAAACAATGTCGCCACTCCTCCACCTTTCCTTTGTTGTCTGCTCTCGCAAAGAAAATTGTAGTTTGGAGGAGACGACTCCAACAGAATATGTGCTTCATTAAGTTCATGTAACCATGTTTCTGTTAAAAACATAACATTATTGTCAATAAAGTAATGAATTAAAAGGGATTTTCCTGACAGATCCAATGTTCAATAAAGCCAGTTCATATGAATTAGTGGTTGATGTTGTCTCTGTAGCAGGCTGCATCTGACAATTTATGACTCTTAAGTGTCTGTTCCTGTTTGTTCCCATTTTGTTTTTCTTATTTCTGCCACGTATCATCACAGATATTCCATAAGCTCCGGTGTAAGGCCCAAGCTGATGCTGGAAAATGTTATGTCTGATAAGGTTGTTGCCAGGGCCCGGTGTGTATCATGGAGAAGTTATCCCTTACACCCCCTCAGTCTGGGAGTCTCTGCTTAGTCTGCTGCCCCCACGACCCGGTTCCGGATAAAGCGGGAGACGATGAGTACGAGAAAAAAATGTTTTTTAATTTTTGTGTACAACTACACAAATTGAGTTGTACAAGTTGTTCATCAAAAACCTCTAACATTCTCACTTTTTCTAAAATGGTCCAGAACTATTGTTGCAAATTAAGATTTTTATTATTCAGACTATCATGAAAAGATCAGGAACAGATTACATATTGGCAATAAAAAAAAAACAAACAAAAAAACATAAAAATAAATCATAGGACCTGAGTATTTACCAGATTTACTATATAACACCTTATCTGTTTTATTTTCTATGTAAACAGAGCTGTTGATTAATGGCTTTCTCAAAACTTGCCTCAAAAAAAAGAACATTAACCCGTGAGTTTCTTATGTAATGAGGTGAAGGAGTTTCTAGATGGACATTTTATCACCAGTCAAACATGGTAAACACCTCTACTGTTCATTCCTGTGGCATCTAACTGCTGTGACTATTCAAAAGGCTTCACACCTGTGTGAACTCTCATGTGAGAAGTCAAATGACTCTTTTGATTAAATTTATCGTTACAAATGGTACAAGAAAAAGGCTTCTCACCTGTGTGAACTCTGATGTGTTTATCTAGATTAGATTTGTTAGTGAAGCTTTTTCCACAGGACAGACATTCAAAAGGCTTCACACCTGTGTGAACTCTCATGTGAGAAGTCAAATGACTCTTTTGATTAAATTTATTGTTACAAATGGTACAAGAAAAAGGCTTCTCACCTGTGTGAACTCTCATGTGAGAAGTCAAATGACTCTTTTGATTAAATTTATTGTTACAAATGGTACAAGAAAAAGGCTTCTCACCTGTGTGAACTCTGATGTGTTTATCTAGATTATATTTGTTAGTGAAACTTTTTCCACAGGACAGACATTCAAAAGGCTTCTCACCAGTGTGAACTCTGATGTGTGTATCAAGATTAGATTTGTTAGTGAAGCTTTTTCCACAGGACGGACATTTAAAAGGCTTCACACCCGTGTGAACTCTGATGTGTTTGTTAAGATCAGAGTTAGAGGTGAAGCTTTTTCCACAGGTCAGACATTCAAAAGGTTTCTCACCAGTGTGAACTCTGATGTGTGTATCGAGATTAGATTTGTTAGTGAAGCTTTTTCCACAGGACGGACATTTAAAAGGCTTCACACCCCTGTGAACTCTGATGTGTTTATTAAGATCAGACTTAGAGGTGAAGCTTTTTCCACAGGACAGACATTCAAAAGGCTTCACACCTGTGTGAACTCTCATGTGAGAAGTCAAATGACTCTTTTGATTAAATGTATTGCTACAAATGGTACAAGAAAAAGGTTTCTCACCAGTGTGAACTCTGATGTGTGTATCGAGATTATAGTTGTTAGTGAAGCTTTTTCCACAGGTCAGACATTCAAAAGGTTTCTCACCAGTGTGAACTCTGATGTGTGTATCGAGATTAGATTTGTTAGTGAAGCTTTTTCCACAGGACAGACATTCAAAAGGTTTCTCACCAGTGTGAACTCTGATGTGTGTATCGAGATTAGATTTGTAAGTGAAGCTTTTTCCACAGGTCAGACATTCAAAAGGTTTCTCACCAGTGTGAACTCTGATGTGTGTATCAAGGTTAGATTTGTCAGTGAAGCTTTTTCCACAGGACGGACATTCAAAAGGCTTCACACCTGTGTGAACTCTGAGGTGAGAAGTCAAATGACTCTTTTGATTAAATGTATTGCTACAAATGGTACAAGAAAAAGGTTTCTCACCAGTGTGAACTCTGATGTGTGTATCGAGATTATAGTTGTTAGTGAAGCTTTTTCCACAGGTCAGACATTCAAAAGGTTTCTCACCAGTGTGAACTCTGTGTGTATCGAGATTAGATTTGTTAGTGAAGCTTTTTCCACAGGACAGACATTCAAAAGGTTTCTCACCAGTGTGAACTCTGATGTGTGTATCGAGATTAGATTTGTTAGTGAAGCTTTTTCCACAGGACGGACATTTAAAAGGCTTCACACCCCTGTGAACTCTGATGTGTTTATTAAGATCAGACTTAGAGGTGAAGCTTTTTCCACAGGACAGACATTCAAAAGGCTTCACACCTGTGTGAACTCTCATGTGAGAAGTCAAATGACTCTTTTGATTAAATGTATTGCTACAAATGGTACAAGAAAAAGGTTTCTCACCAGTGTGAACTCTGATGTGTGTATCGAGATTATAGTTGTTAGTGAAGCTTTTTCCACAGGTCAGACATTCAAAAGGTTTCTCACCAGTGTGAACTCTGATGTGTGTATCGAGATTAGATTTGTTAGTGAAGCTTTTTCCACAGGACAGACATTCAAAAGGTTTCTCACCAGTGTGAACTCTGATGTGTGTATCGAGATTAGATTTGTAAGTGAAGCTTTTTCCACAGGTCAGACATTCAAAAGGTTTCTCACCAGTGTGAACTCTGATGTGTGTATCAAGGTTAGATTTGTCAGTGAAGCTTTTTCCACAGGACGGACATTCAAAAGGCTTCACACCTGTGTGAACTCTGAGGTGAGAAGTTAAATCACTCTTTTGAGTAAAATCCTTGTTACAAATGCTACAAGAAAAAGGCTTCTCACCAGTGTGAATTATATGTGTATCAAGTCTAGACTTCTTTGTGAAAAATTCTCCACAGGACAGACAATAAAACTTCTGACCTGTGTGAGTTCTCATGTGAACCAATAAATGCTTTTTTTTAAGAAAGTTTTCTCCACATGTCAAACATTTAATCTTCCGCTTCAGAACAAGCTGCTCTTTCTGCTCACTGAGCTTCATAGTTTCCTCTTTTATACATGGATGTTCTGGCTTTTGATGCTCTTCTTTTATCTGCCTGGGTTTTGGTTCCTTTTGGTCCAAACTGGATTTCCTCTCCTGTCCACAGAGCTGCTGGTCAGAGAAATCCTCCTCTTTCCCAACATAATCCTGCAGGCGGTCTGAAAGACAAACACAGCAAAAAGGCGTTCTATTGGTGGTTAAATAAAGGACACCTCTCATAAAAGCACCAAACTCTCTCCTTGAGGTTGAGGAGCGAGTGGATCCTATCAAGCAACCTGAAGACATGAAGTTCATTCTGGCCTAAATTTATTTCCCCACAAACAATTATTAAGGAAAGTAAAGCATTTCCATCCAACACCACAGTGACTGTCTGGAAAATGAGGAAGTAATGAGACTCAGCAGCACTTCCTGTATATCTCTGCCTGGAAGAGACATACCCCAGCTCAATGTGTCAGAGGTTGAGCAGGAGCTGCCATTTTAATCCCACATCATAGAGGTTTCTAGAATTTACTTCTTTTATCTTCAGAGAAATCTCCTGTCCAGGGGTGATGCTGAGAAACTAGTCCATGCAAATTGTTACTTCAAGGCTGGACTATTGTAATTCTTTACAGTCAGGAAGTCCACAAACTGTAGTAAAAACCCTTTAGTTGATACAAAATGCTGCAGTCAGAGGCTTGATGAAAATTAAAAACAGACACCATATCTTTCCTATTCTAGCTTCTCTTCATGTACTTCCTGTTAAGAACTTAAAATGCTCCATATCACATATTAAGCTCTAATTAACCAGGATCCATCTGATATAAGTGATGTGATTGTTCCTTACGTTCCTAACAGAGCACTTCGCTCTCAATCTGCAGGTTTACTAGTGGCTCATAGAATTTCTAAAAGTAGAATGGGAGGCAGATCTTTTAGTCATCAGGCTCCTCTGCTGTGGAACCAACTACCAGTTTTAGTCCGTGAGGCAGACACCCTGTCTACTTTTAAGCTTAAAACTTTCCTTTTTGATAAAGCTTATAGTTAGAGTGTCCCAGGTTATCCTGAGCTATCTCTATAGTTGTGCTGCTATAGGCTTAGACTGCTGGAGGACATAGGGACCCCTTTTAATAGTTATTTCTCCAAACAGCCATAAAACCAAAGGTTTCCTGTCATTTGTTTAAATAATAACCCCACAGTGGTGGTGAGTTCTATCCTCAGTATCTGTGTTTCTATTGATTAGACTGCTTGTTGAATAGAGTAAAGAAAAAAACTGGGAAACAATCCCACCTGATCAAAATGCTGCTGTGTAAATAATGAGTTTGAAATATTTCTAGTTAGTTCTTAAAAATGATCGACACTCAGCTGTTCCTCATAAGTTAGATCCTCGTGGAATTTCAACCAAAGAAGAGAGCAATTTTTCTTTTTTAAACATAGGGATAAAATTAAGCCTTCTACTCATATTGTGTCCCAGAGCACTGTTTTCCCACAGAAAAATTTGTTTCAGTTTTGCAAAAAAACAAACAAACATTAATATCAATTAATTAATTATAATCCAGACCACTGTGTAATTCCTACATAAGAAAATATGTGATGTAATTGGTGGATGAAATGACAAATGGTTTTCTCAGCTGCAACTGGCCAGGGGTCTATTTCACAAAGCAGGTTTAAACAAACTCAGAGTTAAACCCTCAACTCTAAATTGATCTAGCCTACGGTTGAAAACTCAATATCAAGTTAGTTTGATCAACTGTAAGTAGGTCCACTGTGACCTGAACATGTGCATATTAGGGGTGTAAATCACACCCATCATGGCGATTCAATTCAGTATCGATTTCCTGACCTAATGATTTGATTATTTTCGATACTCAAGAATACACCACGATACGATTTTATTTTATTTTTTTGTTTCTTTTTTTCCCCTTACAGGCTAGACAATTTTTCAAATTTGAAATAAATCAACGAAAGCTGTTATATCGTTATGCATTTTTTTTAAACAGCAGCAAATAACAGAAGTAAAAAAGTTGCACTCCACCTATTCCTATTAAAACCTCATTCACTGAAAAATAATAATACCCCTATGTTATAGATTCTGGAGGCCTTGCATCAAAAAATACTGCACAAAATCAGTGCATTGAGTGCAATTCAATACCTCGGCTCCAGATGTCCCCGCCCCCTCCACAGACGCTCAGCTGCACCTCTCCCAAGCTGAAGCTGGCTTCAGCTTGGTTTCCACAGTGAGGTCAGCAAAAGACACCAAGATCTAATCAGGGATCAGAACAGCCTCCATGTTGGAAATCTAAGCATCAGAAACCATTGATATATATATACATGATAGAGCTCTCATGGTGGCTCGCTGGACGGTGTTGTGCCAAAAAGTGATTGTCTGCCAAAAACTGATTGGCTAAGATCGGGCGCGTTCCCACAGAGCAGCAAGAGGGACTTGTTTCCATGTTTAGTGAGCCCAACCTGCCTGTGTTGTTTCAAGTTTCTTTCTCTGTATTTTAGATTTTGAAATCAAACACTATTAACACCAGTAAAGCAGTTATATTTCTATGACCAAGGTTACAGCAGATGTGTCTTATTTACCTTTCTGCTCCTCATCAACGGCTTCATTTTGCATTCCTCATGAACATCTGCAAATTCTAACAGACTTTAGCAATAAAAGTAAACTATGAAAGACTTTTCTGCACTACATTTGATTCCATTAAAAACTATTCTGTCTCGTTACTGTACTGTGACGGATGTAACTCGGTTAATTATTTAAAATAAAATGTTCATATTTTGTTTTTCATGGTGATATTGTTACTCATTTAAAAATGTAAGTACAGATAGTGTGAAATGCCAAATTTCAAGGAAGAGTCAAAGTTTATTAATCCTGATTTGAACTTCCCATACTAAAGAAATTCCCTGAATAGAGAAAATGGGACACCTTAATTCACCAAAGAATGATGAAGAATTATTATATGAATATTAAATATTATTATATTTTAATATAATTATATTAATATGTTATAATATTAAATATATTCTTCTGAACCCCCCCCCCCCTCCCAGCACTGAAATAATCCACAAAATACATAGAATATGACTATTTTACTTTCCTAAAAGGGATTTAAACTTATTTTTTTATCTGCAGTGTATTTTCTAGATGAAATTGCTTTATTCAACTCTAAGGCATAATATGTCATATATCTTACTGAACTCTCCACCCCAAACACTCAAAAAATCCACAAAATAATGATGCCAGACGATATGTACTACTTTATCTTGACTTTTGAAGCAACAAGCGCCAACGACCACAGCATGTACCAACTTCCTGTTTTCAAAATAAAAGTGTAGGCCTAGATTTTAAAGCAGAGAAGCTATCAATATTGATATTTATCCTATCTAAAAACTATCAAGAGACTTGAAATGCAAAATTAAAGGCATAAAGCCAATTGAAGCCAACTGATAACTATGATCCAACACTGATTTTGTCAATTGATCACATGAACTGGAAGCTATTGAGCAAGAATGCCAATATTTCATATAAAAATGTATTTAAAACAATTTGAGATTTGAAATGGAAAAATAAAAGGTGTGGTGTAATTTTTGAAGCCAGCGAAGTGCTTTGACCCAACACTGATATTAAGTCAATTGATCAAATGTTCTAGAAACTATTAAGCAAAAATATTAATATTTTCATATAAAGATTTAAAATAATTCAAGATTTAATATGCATAAATTAAATGTCTAACCTTTGTACCCTGCGGAATGCTATTATCTAACAATGATTTTGAGTCAATTGATCACATTAGCTATTGAGCTACAATATGCTTATATGAATTAAGTAGAATATACAGTGGGGGAAATAAGAACATTTCTGAAATTCACATCATATGAATTTATAAAAATTGATAACCATCTGATGAGGATAAAAAAGTATTTGACCCCCTACAAAACAGCAAGTATTCTGGCTCCTACAAACCAGTTAGTCTTTCTTTAAGACACAGCCCCAATCCCAACCCATTATCTAGATCAAATACACCTGCCTCACCTCGTTACCTGTATAAAAGACACCTGTCAACACCCAAACAACCAGCATCCAAAATCACCACCATGGGCAAGACCAAAGAGCTTTCTACGGACATCAGGGACAAGATTGTTGATCTGCACAAGACTGGGATGGGCTACAAGAGAATCGGAAAGCAACTGTCGGTGCAGTTATCAGGAAATGGGAGAAGCACCACACCACCGCCAACCTCCCTCTGTCTGGGCCTCCACACAAGACCTCACCTCGTGGGGTGTCCCTGATCATGCGAACGGTGAGGAATCATCCCAAAACCACAAGGGGGGAACTGATGAATCAACTGAAGGCAGCTGGGACCACAGTTACAAAAGAAACGGTTAATAACACAGTAAAATTGTAGATCGTTGCATTCTTTGTAAGTGGGCAAACCTGCAAAATCAGCAAGGGGTCAAATATATTATAGGTCCATATAGTTAGAGACTATCCTCTCTGAACCGTTACTTTAGAGCTGTGAAAGGATTTCAGTGAATTGTGAATTAAAATCTTACATATAAAGCCTTCAATCCAAAACAAAGCTCAACCAGTGCCTAAACAAATGATAAGCCCAGTACAGCCCGAGCAAGCCAAGATAAAGATGGCCAGAAAGATGACACAGAAAGAGCGTACGTCAGAACTACAGGAGGATTCATCCCAGATCTCAGCAGGACAAAAAGAGGACTCCCCTTTAAATTCCAAAGAGAACCAAAAACCCCATCGCCGCAGACACCAGTCCAGACTGCACCCAATTCCCCCTCTTCCCCACAAAGCCCAGATGTTCCCTTTCTGGAATTTTCTCATAACATGAACAAAGTTTTCAAGATTGGCCTACAGTTGACATCCTCTCCACATAGCCATTCTGAAAGCCGCAGCTATGTGAAAAAACCAGCATCTTCTAAAAGGAGCAGAGCCCC